AGTAACAAGTGCCTTACTAGTAGTAACAAGAAGCTACTAGGAACAAGTGCATTGCTTCTAGTAACAAGTGCCTTACTGGTAGTAACAAGAAGCTATTAGGAACAAGTGCATCGCTTCTAGTAACAAGTGCCTTACTAGTTACTAGTAGTAACAAGAAGCTACTAGGAACAAGTGCATCGCTTCTAGTAACAAGTGCCTTACTAGTAGTAACAAGAAGCTACTAGGAACAAGTGCATCGCTACTAGTAACAAGTGCCTTACTAGTAGGAACAAGAAGCTATTAGGAACAAGTGCATCGCTTCTAGTAACAAGTGCCTTACTAGTAGTCACAAGAAGCTATTAGGAACAAGAAGCTACTAGGAACAAGTGCATCTTTTCTAGTAACAAGTGCCTTACTAGTAGTAACAAGAAACTACTAGGAACAAGTGCATCGCTTCTAGTACCAAGTGCCTTACTAGTAGAAACAAAAAACTATTAGGAACAAGAAGCTACTAGGAACAAGTGCATTGCTTCTAGTAACAAGTGCATCGCTTCTAGTAACAAGTGCCTTACTAGTAGTAACAAGAAGCTATTAGGAACAAGTGCATCGCTTCTGGTAACAAGTGCCTTACTGGTAACAAGAAGCTATTAGGAACAAGAAGCTACTAGGAACAAGTGCATCGCTTCTAGTAACAAGTGCCTTACTAGTAGTAACAAGAAGCCATTAGGAACAAGTGCATCGCTTCTAGTAACAAGTGCCTTACTAGTAGTAACAAGAAGCTATTAGGAACAAGAAGCTACTAGGAACAAGTGCATCGCTTCTAGTAACAAGTGCCTTACTAGTAGTAACAAGAAACTACTAGGAACAAGTGCATCGCTTCTAGTAACAAGTGCCTTACTAGTAGTAGCAAGAAGCTATTAGGAACAAGAAGCTACTAGGAAGAAGTGCATCGCTTCTAGTAACAAGTGCCTTACTAGTAGTAACAAGAAGCTATTAGAATTAAATTAAAAAATTAGATCAAATTAATAGCTTTTTGTTACTACGAGTAAGGCACCTGTTACTACTAGCGTGGCACTTGTTACTAGTAGAAACAAGATACGTCTTACGTCTTCGTCCTTCGCATCAGCGATCATCTTTCGCTCCATCTTTCTGCACACCTGCAGCGAGGGAGATTCGATGATCTCTCCTGGTACTGTTCCTTTGGTGGCATCACCGGCTTCGCAAAAACCGCTAGTATCCGATTCTGCTGCAGCTTGAGATTCTCTTCTCGTGCAAACTCCTGGCACTTGCTCCAGTATCACGCGAAACTTTCATCGGTCAGCATACGAGGGTAGGGCCGACTGAAGCATAGATGAAAGGTTTCTGCCTAGGCCCAAGTACACTTCTCGACTCAAGGATTGGGCACAAACATCACACACAACCATGAGTGTTTTCCTTCCTTCAATCATTTAGCCTCGGCGACTTGCTTCGCTTTCCTGGGGGCATTGTGTACCCCTTGCCTTTCCTGAGATGAGAACATGCTCCACCTTGTGCCTCGACTAGCTCCTCAACTCGCTGTAGAGCCTGTGCGGCGTTGTGGCGTTGCCATGCCCCCAGTCTCAAATTTCCATAGTCCAGCTCAGCTAATCCATTGTAGGTCTCGCTTGACTGACAACAGCTACAATACAAACCTCCAGATTCAACAGTCAACACGTGTCCGAAATCATACATATCTAATCATATTTAGCAAAGGTCGCGCGCTGAGCACCGTAGAACCGTTTTTGCACGACTGACTGCGCCAGCGCAAGGCCTCCAACGCTTTAGCGGCGGAAAGGCTCCAGAGTGATGACAGTGCCCGTTCGTCTATCTCACTCCTTGGCATTGAGCTGGAGGCGCAAAATGAAAGCAACCAAACCAAAAGCTCAAAAACTCTGAAGAGTTTGAGGTTGCATTTTCAACATCTATGTGTACCGCCCAGCCTCCAAAAATGTCAACTTGACAGGTTGCGGTGGACAACGAGGCTTGAATTCAAAATAGCCCCACTGGCGTGCCCACTTTCAGTCGCTTGTCTCAATTCAATCTACTCTGACTTATGCTACTTGGGGTGCAGACTTAGTGCTTTCTTGCAAGAGCTGGACACGCCGCTCTACCTGGCGCCAACTCCATTGGTTAAATATCTCTTTCTCGGGATGTTATGACGAGTTGGTACGATGCCACAAACGGCCGCTCAGAGGTGCAACAATACATACATGACTCATGACCGTACGCATTGAGTGCAACATGCGGTCAATTCAAGGGCAAGCCAAACGATCAAAGGCGCCTCCTCCTTCTCTATACCTTGGGCGTTTGTGAAAAAAAGTTCAAGGATGAATTTGCAGCGGGGTTGATCCAAATTAGTGTTTTCAGAAATGTTTGGGATTGTTTGGGGTAAGTGCCCGGAAGAAGAAGGAACCAAAACAGGGTCGTGCACCTACTGCAGTTTTTGGAATTGCTGACACGTCGTTTGGATTTTCAGTGATTGTCGCCGAACATCCAACAGTGACTTGACCTTATTTATGGTGCATAAGTAGAGGGATTGGAAGGCAACATCAAAGCAACCGAGCGCCCTGCCATCAGCCAAATCTTCCTGGAAAAAGCTCAATGACTCAACGATGCTCAAAAAATCTCAAACGAGTACGCCAACCCTCAAAAGCAAGCTACGAACAACTCAGCACTTCAGTGGGCAGTCAACTCCACCGCTTCGTTGAGGCGCTCCTCTGACCCTGCACGCACTTTCGCATGAGGGAAGAGTGCCTGTGCGGAAGGACGGGAGAGTGAAACCGCACCAGTGGTACTCTGTGAGCGTCCCCGTTCGGGAGATTCTGGGCATCACCACTGTTCGAACACCGTGTTCGCCAAATCTTTGGTGCAGTCAAATCTTACACTGCATTTGCGGAGCAGTTGCAGCTTCCAACATGGTGCCCTAGTGAGGATGGAGGTATAGATCAAGCTACGGCCTCCCAAGGCCTGTTGCCTGAAAGGTCAAACCTCCCGAAAACATCCGAAAACCTTATCTTCTGCTATCTTGTGCTTCAACAACTAAATACGGATGCGCTCGCTCCCTACTTCAGTGGGCCGTCAAGAATGCGAATCAACAGGTTAAGTGACCAATAGTGTTCAACCCCTGCTTCAACAAACTCATCCAAGCTCCTCAGGCATACTAATATTGAACGCAACAACTCTCCCATGCGTATCATTCACAAAATAACTTGAGGTTCAGGTAACCGTGCACTCCCTATTTAATGGACCTCGAAACAAAGGATTCCTTTACAAGAAGAACTGCTGCTATTTGCACAGGTATATGGGCGCGGGTATCATAGGTAAGACGTGGTTTTACTGTTCTTGTGGCTTGCTCTCGAAGTCTTCCTGGCCTTCAAGGTGCAAGCAATACTTTCAGCGCATTCACCTTGTTTGGCACATTTTTTACTCCGAGCGCTTGTCCCGCACTTCTTGCTCCCAGTACATCTGACGATCGAAGTGAACATCTCTTCAGGACACTGTTGCAAGCTTTGCTTGAACATTTCTTTCGATATTACAACTGATATTACATTCTTGCTCATAAGCCTGGCAACGAAACATGCCCTCCAAGCATTCATTTCTAAGCAATTTGCCAGCATCTGGCTCCTTGGCGGGAACATGCGCAGCTTCTAGCACTGAACGTCATTTGCACGAAAAGCGCACCACGCCTGCCTGGAGAATGTCCACCCATACGTTGATAAGCTTGGAGTTTGCACCAACTGCCGCTTGAAGCTAGGCCATGCTAGGCCTACAGATCAATGAGGCCCGAGCAATGCCAGGAGGTCTTCCGATTGCCGCACCCCTGCGGAAAAGATTCATCACAAACCCCCTGGGGGGGGGGAAGGAAGCTACTAGTAACAAGTGCCTTACTAGTAGGAACAAGAAGAATTTAATTAGAATTGTAATTACTAGCAAACATTGTTACTACCAGTAAGGCACTTGTTACTACCACCGGGGCACTTGTTACTACTAGCAAACAAAATCCTCCTAGGACCTTTTCAGATTCTATACCGTAACCAATTGGCCTGAACCTAAACCCTCCGTTGCTGGCTTTCTGGAGGCCTTTTCCGTTGACAGCCTATCTATGTTGACGACCTATTTGAGATTTTTTAGCTGCTGCGTGCCGACATGTAGCTAAGATTGCAACCTGCTGCACACTTTCCGGATGCTAAACGCAAGTGATGCTGTCTTGCCATCTGTAGGAGCTTCTGGCAACAATTCATGTGATTGGCCACTTTCGCTCACTACAAGCTGTCAAATCATGCATCCGCTCGGCATACAGTCTTCCGCCCTACCCAGCCAAGCACTAGACTGCTTGGCTCAAAGTCTGTAGCCCTGGCTCTGAATTTCCACATGAGTGGCATGATTCTGCCCAAAAACGAATTAGAGCCTGCAGTGAGGCCGGAAAACACCAGTCCGAGCCTTGCCCGGACTGCGAGGAATTGGCCATCAATGTTTCTGTTGATAGCTGGGCGAGATTCAGCACTCGTAAGGCCCATGATGACCACGGCAGAAAAGGTCATGGGTGTTTTCGACCAAGATTCCACCGAGGATTGCACCCAAGTCACCGATGAAGCACCAGCAAGAGTAGGAGGCCAGATTGTGTTCAGGAGGCACCTCACTCTTTTGCTCGAGATTTTGTCATGGATGCCAAAAGAAAGAAATCATCTATAGTCTATAATTCTGTCTATATAACTAAGCTCATTCCGGCCCTCCAAGCCCCATGCTGAAGGCAAACACGAGGCGCTAAAGGATGAAAAGCAAGTGGAGACTGGAGGCTAGCGCCAGTAGGTTGGAGGCCATCGCTAGTACTAGTAGGTTGGAGGCCATAGCTAGTGGGTTGGAGGCCATCGCTAGTAGGTTGGAGGCCATTGCCATCAGGTTGGAGACTGCTGTCATGAGTGCGCGGCATCAGGCGGCACTTCGGGGGGTCTGTTTACGTGAGAAACCTTTAGCTGAACGTCTCCAGCTTGCAGCTGAACGGAGACTCAGGCACCTGTTTGTCGACATGATTGGCTGTGAGCCCGTAGATGGTGCCATTACCCCAGAAGATCATGAAGATTGCCAGCGGGATAATAATGGCAATAGCCAAGGACTCCAGGTAAAGACCAGCGATGATCAGACCCATTGCAAGGCCAAGGAGTGCCAGCCTCTTGCGAAGAGAAGGCGTGGAGATGTAGATAGCGATCCTACGACTGATCGAGTCACCAAGGAAAATAAAAATGTAGGTGATCCTCGGCTGGAAAGGCAATACGTTGACATGGGTCCGTGCAACATTGCGTAACCTCATAAGCAATTCGATCAAGTTATGATGTGTTAATGTCAAATTATATAGATACAAGAGTAGATACAAGCATGCACACACAACATCGCAAGAAACACAACCGCATCGGTTTGCAAAGATCTGGGCCCGGTCGAGGCCTTGTAAAAATCCAATAAAATCCCATCAGTTCATCCCTTGCCGAGGCTCGCAAAGAACTGGCCCCAGTCCATCAAGTAGTCTGAACCTCAGATGTGTCTGAGCTTGCTGATCCAAGAAGGTCAGCCTCAACTGTGGTGATGCCGAGATGCTCTCAGGATTAAAGAGAGGCACCTGCAGTGAACCACAACTGGTGGAAAAAGAGTCAAACCCATGCCAAGGACAGTGTTCATTGTATTGCCTCTCAGCTTGCTTTTCATAAGCTCAGCAACTTCCTGCGTCATGTCTGTGAGTTGATTCTACACTACTCCACAGGATTTTAATGGATTTTAGATAATCGACTTCGGTATCCTAGCATCAGAGCCTAGTCAACTGGCTAATTAATGGCCTTTGGTGGATGGAACATGTAGAAGATGGCCGGCCAATTCTCCATCGCAAAGTGGCTCAAGAACTGCGCAAGGAAGAAGGGTGCCATTCCCGGCATCCAACGACGCGCCTCACATGCAAGACCAAAAGAGACTCTTACTACCGGAATGCAAGTCCGCACAGGCCTGCCGCAAGGACGCACCAAAGTTGGCAGTGCGCAGCTCAGTCTTCTCCCGGGGTGAAAACTTCCAAAAGAAGTAGAGACCGAAGGGCAGGCAAGCCACAATGTACCTGCAAAGCTCGTCATGCGGCGTCATGCATGGAGCTCATTCATCAATCTATACTATACATGAGGGTAGTCTACACTGACTGTGACATCCGTACTACATCGTACTACTGGGTTGCACAGCAGGAAACATGTAAACGACTCAGACCTTCACAGTCATGCTGGCTGAGCGGCCAATAGAGCCACACCACTGGAAGCCCAAAGGAGCCTCGAGCTTCTCTAGCGAAGCTCATTAAATCAAATAGGCTCTTGTTGGTATGGGCACTTGTTTGATGTATATAGGATTATAATGGACTATACACACACATATATATATACAGTATAGGTTGATTGTGCTTTGACTTGCCTCTTCCAAACACATGTGCGTCCTACGCACCATTTTGCATCCAAAATGCTCAAGGTGAGGCCCAAGATGTTGATGGTTCCAAAGCCCGCAGGACAACCAATGATTGCCCAAGACTTGGTGGCCTGCAAGGAGCGCCAATTATAGATTGCTATGACTGGCAGATTGGCAAATGGGATCCGATGGGGCTGTATCAGAAGTTCCGAGCTATAGTACCCTCCGGCCTTTCCCAATGGTGTGATGACGCTGAGGAAAGTCACTTCGAAGATGCCAAGTCCCAAGCCAGAGAGAATGTAGGCAATAAAGACCGAATAGACCCAGTGCCACTCAAGGGTGAAGACCAGCAAAGGGGGAATCAAAACGCCCACGAACCTGAGTGGCACCAATATCGGGAGAAAAGATTCGGCATGCGTCCCGAGAGACACACAACAAGGAAGAACACAGGTTCCTCTCTGAGACAGCTCACATAAACACCATCGCAATCATCACGCGGCTTCGTGGGCTGATGCATGCAAAAATGATATTGTGCCCCAGTCTGGCAATCAACTTGCCATAATGCACTCCGACTGCTGCCTGGATGAGAGTTCACAAGCACTTCGTCAATCTGCGTCAAGTGTAGACTAGCTGACTAGCATGTCTCCCTTTCGCTGAAACAAAAGGATCTTTTGAGACCTTTTGTGCGTGTTTGATCCTTGGCGAGCAGCTTTGCCTTTGATGTCGCGACATTCCGTGCAGCACCAACCTGGAAACCTATGCGGACGTGCCTTGCCTGAGTGAAGATGTGGGCACTGGCGGTGCCGTGTTTGACACCCAACTCGTGCTTGTAGGCTGATTGCAAAGGGCCCACCATCGAAGCGTAGCCCTGCGACTGTGACAATATGTATATCTATATATACATCATATATCATATATCAAACATATCATCATGTATCCACTAGCTATGTATATCCCATCTTGGCGAAGTGCTTTCACGCAACAGAACGTGATCAAGTGGTGCTGGGATGCACGAGCCTGAAACATGCTGAGCATGACCAGCATCATGATTCGAGTTGGTGCTTGCCTCGGGGCACAAAAGCAACCTGACACACAGTCATGCCTTATCTGCTACACTTCGGTTTTGTCAAGCAGTCGAGGCCGTACCTCCTCAAACCAAATTCTCATACCTGTCGGACCCATACCTCCCCGCACCGCTTCTGCTTTGTTTCCTTCTTTGTGTTCGTTCTTGTTCATCATTTCTTACCTTTTTTGCATCTAACCCGTTACCATCGTTGCCATTAGACCTTATATAAAACTATAAAACATAACATCATCTTTAAACTCTATTAAACTTTATACCTTTCTGATCCTTTCTGTCCTTTCTGCGTGGCATCCAAACTCAACTAAGTCATTAAGCAAAGCCACTCAGGCTCTACATGATCGATCTGGCCCTCGATTTCGCTCTTCCCTGTGCTCTGAATGGTCTCCGCCCGAGTCTCCTCCGACTCCACCGCCTCAAGATCAACATCTGCAACTCCCGTGATCTTTGGAGTGTTCTCCATGGCTTGTCCGATCCAGGTGTGCTTCCGGCAACCCTTGAGCACGAAAATGGGCTGCACCTTGAGCGGGGCGGGTTGATGCAATTAGCCTGCTGGCCATCAGCAAAAACTACTGTAGATGAAACTGTAAGTTCTCCACTTTCAGCCTGACTGACTTGTCCGAATGTCTACTCAGCACTTCCGCTTTAGCAGAAGCTAGCGTCTCCAAAGTCAACTGCCCAAGCGCCCCGAAACGAACACTGAGCCAGGCACATTCCCATATCATCAGACTCAAACGCAACGCCCAAGGGGGCATTTCGAAAACAACATGGCCCCGCAATGCTCATAATGTACCCAAGTCTTCTAAACAATTGCTGACCCGCTGGCTGACAGCGGCTAACGGCCAACAACCACAAAACACCCCGACAAAGCTTGTTTTGAATGGACATGAATGGACCAAGATGGACCAAGTGCATGCCCAAAACTGCAGCCCAAAGAAGTTGCAAGGTGTCACACTATATTCCTTTATCTGGTCTAGCAGGTGCTGGCTGCAATTAGAAGCTCGAGCAACATGGAAACGACCACAGCATTGAGTAGGATGGATATGGCGACAATGCAGCTTGGGCCCACACAGTTTCAGCCGACATTCCATAACCTGTCAGCCGCCCAAGCTCTGCCACATGCGACAAGAAAACAGCAAACGAAGAGAGGTAACTTAGACACGCTTAGACACGCTTAGACACTGTTCAAGACCGTCTCCATGTCGTTGAGACAGGCGAATCTTCACTTGCCTGACTGTCGAATATAATCTTACTCTTGACTTATGTCAACCTATTATTTCTCGTGATGCTTACGCGTACTACCTGGCCTTCTGACACCCAGGCAGCTTCGCGTTGCCACGCCTCACTGTGTGCATGTCGGTGACTGGTTGGAACCAAACTTACCACAATAACATCCAGGAAGGTAAAATCGTCATCTCTTGTTCTGACCGTAGTTTCACGTCCGCACACCCTAAGACAACGTCCGCACGTCCTTGAAGTCCAACCGCCCGTGTGCCCATAGCTCCTGTGTCTTTCAACGTCGAGTATTAAGTCACCTAGAAGAAGACCCCATTTGGGATCAAGATGATGAAGCCTGGAAGGCCTGGAGATCTGAACGCTTCTTGCGCTCTTCTGAATTCAGACAACTTCTGTGAATCTCATTGAACCGTATTGAACCGCTCTTCTGTGAAACTCGGCCATGACTTGGTTGTCTTGGCACCACTCCTTCCTTCTCGGTTCTCCAGCAAAGTTGATCAACCTTTTCTCGCCACATGGGCTCCCAGCACGTTGAGGGCAATCTCTTTGACATGGCGATTTGCAGCTGGAACAAAACGCATGGGGAAGTACTCTGGAGTTTGAAAGCCCCCGGTCAAAGGGATCAAACGGAAGGACTCTTTGTATGTTGTTTGAAAGCGTTCCTCAGGAGGAATGTCCACCATTTCCACTGCTGCGGTCGCAATGGCGCAGGGTGGCAAAGGCTTCAAGACTGCAGGGATGCCATAGCCGAAGCTAGGTCGTTCACTGGTGTCGATTGGCACGATCCCACCCAGCCTACCATGCTTCTCACCGGTGGATGGCCTAGACGCACGTGGCCTGGGTGGCTCGCTGGGGCGACGGCCTGGGGCTTCAACTCGAGGTGTCGATCTTCTTTGAGTCTCAAATTCGCATGGTGCCTGGTCCTCATCCCAATCCCCAGCCACCGTCGGTGTTGGTAGATCTCGGTCGGAGAGGAGCTTTTGCTTGGCTTTTGGGTTGGAAGCACCTTTCTTCGGCGCCCGGGACTTAGGTGGGCCCTCTAAGAAGCGGTTTCGCCACAAGGCAAAATGGCCGATGCCCACCGCTGGCTTTCCACCATAGTTCGACCCCCAGTGCCGGTAGTAGAATGGCCCACTAGGGCCAGCTGGCGGCTTTTCGGGTCGAACCCTCGCCCATCTGCTTTCTGACTCCATCTGGCGACGATCAATCACTTCAGCCAAAAAGGGCACCAAGCGGATGCAAGCAGAACTTGCAGAGTGCATGAGTGCAAGTCTACCACAGTCCACCTCATGCATAGGACAGCTTAGCAGTCAGGCTTTCTGCACAACTCCCCAAGCTCCATGCATCCTCAGTCCATGAATTCTCCCACATGTCCCACCTCAGAATGACCAGCGGTGGCAGCTTGGAGATTTCAGGTTACCCGGTTACCCCTGCAAACTAACATGGAACCATTAACCTGAGCATTGACCATTTTCCTCTACGACGCGGTGGTTTTGAGGGTCCATGTTGGGGAGTATCAAGCAACTGTGCGCACATGTGAAGCCGGCAGCCTCAAATCCGGATATAGCCAGTCCATGTCATGCTGAGCATCCGCCGAAAGGAACACACATTATTGGCACCGTGCTTCTTGCTCTAGGAGGGAGCACTTGGCGCCTTAGGTAGCGGAAGAGGACTCATCCCTCATCCCTCAAGGTGCTGGCTCTTTGGCAGATGCTCTAGCACACAGCTTCTTGACCATCGCATCTGCCTGACAGAACCCACCCAAAAGCCATACAAACATCTGCGGGGATCCTGAATCCTAACGGAGAGCAACATAGATTAGAGCAACATCTGCATGTAAAATATTATCTGCATCAATATCAACGAACGTAACCTATGTGCATATAAATAATGTGAATATATATAAATATCTTAGCCGCTCTCCGAACAGCTCTTTTTCTCTCCAAAGTCGAGTCACCTGTGGGATAGGGAACTGGCGCAACCCTGTCTAGCAATCGAAATTCCTCTGGTAGGACCCATGCAGTCCCAGAGGAACCTGGTGCTAAACATCTCACCCAGAGAGAAACACCCAACCCTACCTCCCCCTGCTGGTTGGGTGGTTATCGGGTGTCACCTCTCTCTAGTTCTTCTCCCCGGTGTTCCAGTGCGCGTGGCGGGCCCGCCCAAGGTGCCAGTCTTGGGCGGTGTCCAAGTACCTCCCAACTCGATGACTTGTGCAAATGAATTACGAGATGGACCATCTGCCAAGTTACTCTTAGACTCTACATGGTCGATGTAAATGTGGAGCTTATGATGTGCAGCGGTTAGCCAAAAGGAACCGACGAGGAGAGAACTGTCGGGTTGAGGGGAATAACCCTTCACCAAATTGGTGGCTGCACTGTCGTTATCGACGAACATAAGTATTGAGCGCTCACAGATGTGTTGGGCCCAAAGGTCTAATGCCCAAAGAGGTGCGACGAGTTCGAGCTGTCCCAAATAGGATTTTCTCGGTCGCCACGACTGCACCATGGTTTGGGGAACCTCCTGCGCCGAGTAGAACAATTGGCGTGTGTCTGGGATGAAAAGAACCGCTCCGACCAGCCTTTGTGGCTGACGATCGGGCACATCGGAGGCGTCTGTGTATAGTATTATAGAACCAAGGAAGGGCGGTCAACAAGGAAAAGTTCACGTGAAGGGCAATGGTCGAGGAAGGCGAGCATCATATGTAGAGACCATTTAAGGTCGGGGGTCAGACCCTGATACCGGTGTTGAGAATACTGCCGCTTCCGTAGGGGGCCGGTGCAGCACCTTCCCACTTTCCCGAATAAAGTGGAACGCAAGAAGCCAAACTTGCCGACTATACTGGCTGCAGTGGCCGCGGAAAGGTGTTCCTCCTCCAGGATCTGGTGGATCGAGTTGCATAGATTGGTGACTCTGGAGGGCTTGGCTTCCGGGAAAATTCGGCGTTCTGCGGCTAGACCGTGGGTGGAGAACATAATGCCCAGGATGGCGCATGCTTGTGAGGGGAGCTGGGACTTGTCTGAGTCCAGCTGGGCGCCAAGATCCATGAACAGTGCTTTAATGCAGAACAGAGCTGATTCGACTGTTGAAGTTGGTTCCAAGCAAAAGAAGCCGTCGAAGAAGTGATCGGAGAGGGTGTGAAACAGTCTGATTGAGCATCGAGAGATCCACTCAGCGACCCTGCAGAAATTGGGGACTGAGTGTCCGGCGGCCGGCGCCGAATGGCTGTCCATACATCTCGTGGAGTGAAACTGTATCCCTGTCTGGGTCATATACGGCCGTGATTGCAAAGCGGACGTCAGCCGGGTGCAAAGCTATCTGCCGGTATGCTGATTTCATATCTTCTGAGGCCAGCTTAATGGATGAAGACTGCGCCGCGAGTGCCCTGAGCGTGACCCCAATGTAATCGACCACGGTCATTGGTACCTCTGCAACCTATGTGCCATTTGGTTCACACCTGATGCGCTGTGATCATCTATTCGACGATATTTGGTACCTTGTGCTAGGCCGAAACTTGGAGTGACTTGGACAACTGCACCATATCTGGCATGAGCTTGGTCCAGCGTAAGGGCCGGGCCCATTGTTCCGGCCTCCACTTCCCTCTGGGTCTTCTCCCAGATGGCTTTCGCCAGCTCCGGGGGACCCTTCTGGGCCATGTATCGGACTCTCTCGATCATGGCCAGTGAGCGCTCGTGACGCCCATTGAGAAAGGTATCACGTGACATGGTTAGCCTGACTTCGAAAGGCTCGAAGAGAGGTGATGTGTGCGCCTTCCCTGTAATGCGCATTCCCTCGAGGCAAAGTGCCGGGACGTCTGTATCCCCTCTATGCCCAAAAGGGTTTGCAACTTTTGCATGAGACAGGTGTTAGGTCTGACATTGAGCCTCTGGGCTGTCCATGCTGCTGAGGCGTTGGCTCTCACTTGTTCAGCCGCGAGCTCAGCTCTGAGCTTCTTGATCCTGGTACGCTTCGCAAAACCCCTTGGGGTACTCCCTCTCTAGGCCGGTTGCAAAGGACGTGACCCTTCCTTTCTCGACCCTTGGTTTCCAAGAAAGGTGTGGTCTACCAGTACGCGTACAAACGCGGCTGTTCTTACAGGTCAAGTTCAAACTACTATCCAAATTGGGGATGTGGATGAGGACTTGCGCTTTCCTCCTCTCACACCCCTAAACATACATGCATGATACTCCGTGGCCCACACCCCCTCCTCCGACTCCAACTTCTTCC